GGCCCCGCTTTCCAGTGAGTGTGGGATACTTCAGGCCGCGAGTGTGGTGGGCCGGAGCAGGGCCTTGTCCGGAGGCGGTTGGGGCCGTTGTGCGGGCGAGGTTCCCCTCCCCCTCTCCCCCTGTCCCAAGCCTTGAAGGGGGGTCGGGGCGGGGGTCCCGGGGCAGCTTTGTTGTCTGACCGCAGTTTCTGACCCGTGGACTGTTGGCGGGACGGCCTCCAGGGAGCTGCTCTTCTGGGTCCTGGGGCTTGGAGTAAAGGGGGAGGCTTCCTGCCCCTTTCTGTTTGCGGGACACCGTGGCGCCCGCTGGGCCCCCTGGTCAGCGGTGGACTTGGTCGTAGCGGGTGAGGGTGACGGCCGCCCAGCCCCGGCCGGAAGGGGAGCAGAGCCTCTACAGCTCTGAACGGCCTCTCGGGTTGTTGGAGGAAGCCCAAAAGGTCCCTTTGACGCAACCGGGACCTCAGCCTGTTACACACTTGGCGTTGTTTTCCGGAATCGCTGTGCTGTGGGTCGTGCAGAGATTTGGAGAAGCGACTTGACAGCGGGAGTTCTAAGGCCTATGGATGGCCTTTATGCGCAAAATAGTGTGTGGTTTTTCTAAGGCCTGTGGTTTTTGTTGTTGTTGTTGTTGTTTTTAATAAGTATTGAATGGATCTACAACTCAGAAAAGGTTAAAATAGTATGAGAGAGAGAGTTACACAGCCTTCTATGTTTGTGGATTTGGACATCCTAGTCCCGATGATGAAACTGGAATGTCACATAACCTAATACATAAAAATCCCCGACGTACCGGAAAGTATTTCCCCTGTGCTCAAAACTCTTGTAATAATTTTTTTAAACGGTATGGTGCTTGAACACAACAGCTACTTAATGATAGCTACTTAACAAATAATAAGCTTTAATTATGCTGTTAAGCGGGGGTGACACTTTCTACTACCTTTTTCATGAGTGATTTGACTTCCTAAAAATGTGGACTGTTTCTTTGGAACAGGGAGGTTTTATTCTTGCATCTGTTAAAGTTCTGTTTATGTAAAATTAACCATTTCCCACTCTGTTTTCATTGTGAATTATTTTAAATATGTAGAGACCTGTGGAGAGTAAGATAGTGAATACGTGTGTATGCATTCCCTCCCGGCTTTAAAAAATAATATTTTGCCAGATTTGTCTCAGATTCTAAAAAAAATTAAAATTAGAGACACAGATAAACCCTCCCATTCTGTTTCCTGCAGTAACTACTGTCCCTATTTGGTGTGTAGTGTACCCAAAAGCTTTTATACTTTATCTATATTTCACTACTTAGCTTTGTGTGTATATATATATATTTAAATATATTTTATTGATTTTTTACAGAGAGGAAGGTAGAGGGACAGAGCTAGAAACATCGATGAGAGAGAAACATCAATCAGCTGCCTCCTGCACACTCCCCACTGGGGATGTGCCTGCAACCAAGGTACATGCCCCTGACCGGAATCGAACCTGGGACCCTTGAGTCCGCAGGCCGACGCTCTATCCACTAAGCCAAACCGGTCAGGGCGATGTATATATATTTTTTCAAACTATCATTTTGCAAAATGTGTTTCCAGTTAATCCTATATTATAAAAGCCTAATATGCTAACTGTCCAGTTGGCTGTCAATCTAAGCATAATATGCTAATGAAATGCTAAGGCCATTCAACCACTCGCTATGACAGCACTGACCTCTAGGGGTCAGACACTCTGACCGGTAGGTTAGCTTGCTGCTGGGGTAATTGGGACTGAGCGAGATAAACTGGACATACCCTGGAGCCCTCCAGCAGTCCCTCCCTGGCTGGCCAACCTCCCACATCCCTCCCTGGCCCTGATCATGCACCAGTGGGGTCCCTCGTCCTGGCCTGCACCCTCTTGCAGTCTGGGACCCCTTGGGGCATGTTGGAGAGTTGGTTTTGGCCCAATCCCGCAGGCCAGGCCGAGGGACCCCACTGGTGCACGAATTCGTGCACCGGGCCTCTAGTATTATATATAAATATTATTTATTTTGAGTTTATCTTGTTCATACATATAGCTGTAGCTTATTTTAATTGCTGTAGGATAGTCTGTTATATAAAAACAAACTTTGCCGAAACCGGTTTGGCTCAGTGGATAGAGCATCAGCCTGCAGACTGAAGGGTCCCAGGTTCGATTCCGGTCAGGGGCATGTGCCTGGGTTGCGGGCACGTCCCCGGTGGGGGATGTGCAGGAGGCGGCTGGTCGATGTTTCTCTCTCATTGATGTTTCTGACTCTCTATCTCTCTCCCTTCCTCTCTGTAAAAAAAAAAAATCAATAAAAATATATTTTAAAAAAAGAGAAAAATGATAGACTAAGGAAAAGTGGTGGGAGGGGTGGTTTGGGACTTTAAAGGGCAGGAAAGCAATTCACATGGAGATGGAAAAGCAGATGTTTGGTAAATAAAAGTTTACTGGGCCATCTTTAACAATAGGATACTGAGAGGACTTTGAATAAATGGGTCTTGCTAGGTTCCTTCGTGGCTATCACACACAGTAGTTTATATTAAATTCCAAGTATTTATGATGATATCTCCCTTCCTGGGGCAGATGCTCTATCAAAATTCTTTTTAGCCAATTAGGGGAAGGTCAGTGTTTCTTTCTGTCTTTTGTCCTTAATTACCAGCTTAAAATCAATATCCCAATAGGCTTATTTTGGGGTAGCAAAATTTAGTCCCTCTCAATGTTATTTTTTTTAGTACTATATTTGCCAGTCTAATGGATGTGAAATGCTCTTTCATCTTTATATTTCTCTGATTAGTCATAAGATTGAGCATTTTTTTGAAAGCTTATTCAACATTTGAGTTTTTTCTGTTGATTTTCTTTTTGCCCACTTTTCTTTTGGCTTTATCTTTGTTTATTTGTAGTAGTAATTTATTGTTCATACTAATTCTGTTTTCTTTGTTTTTAATATCTTTCAGTCTATGGCTTATCTTCTTTATATTCATGTTCATTTATGTTTTATAGGTACTTTTAATTTTAATATAGCCAAAATGTTCATATTCTTTGTGCTTTTTGTGTCTTGGTTAAGAAATCCTTTCTCTTCAAATCAGGAAAATTTTTCTTTTAAATGTTCTTTTCACATGTATGTCTAATCCACCTGGTACTGAGTTTGTTGTACAAAATCATTGTATAATAGGGAATCTAATTTCTTTCCATGTGGATTACTGGTTGTCCGAGTACCATTTACTCATCTATTCCATATTAGTTTATAATGCCATGTATGTCATCAAGTTTTCCTAAATGTGTGGTTCTGATTGCCCCTAACCTGCCTCTGTCTCGGCCCCACCACCATGGCTTTGTCCAGAAGATCTCCCGGTCTAATTAGCATATTACCCTTTTACTAGTATAGATTGCTTCTACTTTAGAGCTAGCTGCTTTATCAAAACCTGAATATACTATACTATTTGGCAGTCTGCTGACCTTTTTTAAAGTTTTATTCCATTTTTTTATGATATAATATAAAGTAAACAATATTACCCATAAATTATTCTTGGCAAAAATGTTAAGATTCTTTTATATATATTTATTGATTTTAGAGAGGGCAAGAGAGATAGGAACATCAATGATGAGAGAGAATCACTGATTGGCTGCCTCCGTCATGCCCCACACAAGGGATTGAGCCTGCAACCCAGGCATGTGCCCTGACCAGGAATCGAACTATGACTTCCTGGTTCATAGGTCGACGCTGAACCATTGAGCCACACTAGCTGGGCTTCACTGATTCTAATTAAACATTTAGAAGCAGTCTTTAGTTTAACTGGAAATATAGAGAATAGAGGTATACTTAAACAACATTTTTGGAGAAAACATCTAGAATGTGGGGCATTCTAGAAGAAAACTGGCTAGACTCTTCAAAAAGTCAAGGACATTTTTTAAAGAGGGGTTGTTCTAGTTTAGAAGAGAGAAGGAGACAACCAACTACAACATGTAAACCTTAATTTAATTTTTGTTTAAAAAAAATGACACTGAGCACACTATTTTGTCAAACTGGCATTTTCTTGATAGCAAAACTTTATCTGTGAAGAAGGGATGTGCTGATTTACATTATGGTGCAAGCTCCTTATCTGGTAGATTAGCCTTTTGAATAGCAGTGGCTACAGGATGATTGGGGAAGAAAATATACAGAATGAAGCACAAAGTGACAAAAGGGCAGAACATACAGAAAGGAAGGGAAGAGAGTTAGGGGATGAAGTAAGGTGTAATTTACAAATAGAAAATAAACGAACAGTCCTGTAAGTCTAGGGTATCCCGAAAAATGCATACACACACTTTGAATAATTATAAAAGCAGTGTTTATTAAAATACATTTTCAAAATTGCGCTATCACCTAGCTGTTAAAGTGTGTATACTTTTTGGGGGACGCCATATTAAAACAGTGCTTCTCAAAATATTTGTGTTAATGCCAGTACATTTGTAAATTACAGTAAAAATATCATAGCAGTGTCAAATTACTTAAACACTTAACCTCATTTTCTGTACTTTTAATAGATTGGTACAAATGGTTCATGAACTAGCACTGGTCCACAGAACATACTTTAAGTAGCATACTGCTAAAGAAATAGAATTCATAATTAAAATCCTTCTTACTAAGAGAATTCTAGGCAGGCTCATATAAATTTACTAGTAAATTTTACAAAATTTTTTTTAAAATATATTTTATTGATTTTTTTAAGAGAGCAGAAAGGAGAGGGATAGAGAGTTAGAAACATCAATGAGAGAGAAACATCGATCAGCTGCCTCCTGAACACCTCCTACTGGGGATGTGCCCACAACCAAGGTACATGCCCTTGACTGGAATCGAACCTGGGACGTTTCAGTCCACAGGCCAACGCTCAATCCACTGAGCCAAACCGTTTAGGGCAAATTTTACAGATTTTTAAATAAGAAATAAATATACAAACTATTATAGAAAAGAAGGAAATATTCCTCAATTCTTTATAAGAGACCAGTTTAACCTTGATACCAAAACTTGACAAAAACAAATTAGGGC